TGTATGAATGGATGAGTTAATACTGATGGACTCTTTAATCAGCAGCCTCTACCATCAGTGTGCGAATGTGTATGAATGGATGAGTTAATACTGATGGACTCTTTACTCAGCAGTCTCTACCATCAGTGTGTGAATGTGTATGAATGGATGAGCTAATACTGATGGACTCTTTACTCAGCAGCCTCTACCATCAGTGTGTGAATGGATGCGTTAATACTGATGGACTCTTTACTCAGCAGTCTCTACCATCAGTGTGTGAATGTGTATGAATGGATGAGCTAATACTGATGGACTCTTTACTCAGCAGTCTCTACCATCAGTGTGTGAATGTGTATGAATGGATGAGTTAATACTGATGGACTCTTTAATCAGCAGCCTCTACCATCAGTGTGTGAATGTGTATGAATGGATGAGTTAATACTGATGGACTCTTTACTCAGCAGCCTCTACCATCAGTGTGTGAATGTGTATGAATGGATGAGCTAATACTGATGGACTCTTTACTCAGCAGTCTCTACCATCAGTGTGTGAATGTGTATGAATGGATGAGTTAATACTGATGGACTCTTTAATCAGCAGCCTCTACCATCAGTGTGTGAATGTGTATGAATGGATGAGTTAATACTGATGGACTCTTTACTCAGCAGCCTCTACCATCAGTGTGTGAATGTGTATGAATGGATGAGCTAATACTGATGGACTCTTTACTCAGCAGTCTCTACCATCAGTGTGTGAATGTGTATGAATGGATGAGTTAATACTGATGGACTCTTTAATCAGCAGCCTCTACCATCAGTGTGTGAATGTGTATGAATGGATGAGCTAATACTGATGGACTCTTTACTCAGCAGTCTCTACCATCAGTGTGTGAATGTGTATGAATGGATGAGTTAATACTGATGGACTCTTTAATCAGCAGCCTCTACCATCAGTGTGCGAATGTGTATGAATGGATGAGTTAATACTGATGGACTCTTTACTCAGCAGTCTCTACCATCAGTGTGTGAATGTGTATGAATGGATGAGCTAATACTGATGGACTCTTTACTCAGCAGCCTCTACCATCAGTGTGTGAATGGATGCGTTAATACTGATGGACTCTTTACTCAGCAGCCTCTACCATCAGTGTGTGAATGGATGAGTTAATACTGATGGACTCTTTACTCAGCAGTCTCTACCATCAGTGTGTGAATGTGTAGGTGTGACCTGCGATGTAAAAGAGCTTTGAGTAGTCAGAAGACTCGAAAAGAAATATGCAAGCTGAAGTCTATTTATGATTTGTTTGTGTATCTTGTCAATTCAAAGGATGCCGTTTATGCCAGATCCCTGGGCTCCAGACTCCTGATGACCGTGTATAAAGGAATCGCTCCGGGTGAGGACAGGAAGGCTCTTCCATCTTTGGACATCAACACTAAAAGGCTGGCTGACGGCCTGCTGCAGCTCTCCTTCTCTCTGAGTGAACAGGTCAGTGACTCTATTTGAACTGGAATAGAGATGAAAGACGATTGATTTTAAAACGCCTCCTGTTGTCTGTTATCTGTTCTCTGTGTTTGTGCAGAGTGAGCAGCTGGTGGATTTGTTGCTGAACACCATCATGCTCTCTGTGCCCATATCTGGAAGTCACAGTCATAACTTCCTGAGCTTCTCACACGGCGAGTACTTCTACAGCCTCTTCCAGACGACCATCAACACCGAGCTGCTGAGACGTCTAAGCACCACCGTCCCACACCTCATGAGGGCTTCCTCTCTAAACCAGACCATGGTACTACAGCTCGCACTCCTCTGGTTTTCAAAATGTTTGCTGTTTGCAAGAGATTCATTCTACTTCAAAAACACATTGTGCAATGTGAAGTGGTGGAAGTGATGCTGCAATTATTAGTTTGTAGTTTAGCAGCATTTAATCATTTCTGCAGTAACCATTGATAGTTCTGAGCACCGATATTAATTCATAAATATTAGCAGAAATGTAAATATTGAAAAGCCTGACGAGTGATAGTGATACTTTCAGCATTATCTGTCTGCTGTGCCTGAGCTGTCCCCCCCGGTTTGTATTTGTCTCCAGGTGAGTGTGTTGCTGAACGGCATGCTGGACCACAGCTTCAGAGAGCGCTCTGTGAGGAAGACTCAGGGGAAGCAGCTGGTGGACGAGGTGCTGAAGAGATGGAACAGTCTGCAGTCGTGGTGGGAGGGGCCGTCTGCAACCGCAGAGAGCAAAACCGCCACGCTTCTGCTGCTCTCCAAACTCTTGCAGGTAAAATCAGGCTTCTGCACATCCACTGGTACAACCACCTGTTTCATCATTTCATAAAGGACAGCGGGTTATTATGGGACTCATGTCGTCTGATAAAGATGTTTATTGAAGTCTAAACTGTGTTTTTTCCAAAAATCTGCATCTGGTGCATCCCTGAATAAATGATTTGTGATTAGTAATTTCCTTTGAACATAAATGAACGTAATGAGCACGTTCTCCCTCTCCTGTCAGATCGACTCGTCTGTCTGCTCTGATATCAACCACGAGGCGTTCAGACCCGTGTTTTCCACTTTCACTCTGCTCCTGGTTGACATGAATCTGCCGCTGAATCTAAAGGTAACAGAGAGCCTGTTTGTTCATTCACCATGACGACGTCACATCATACGTCACAGATTTTAAAAAAGATGGTGTATTCTCTGACCTCCTCAGAGTCAGGCCCTGCTGGTGTTGCCGTTCCTCACCTCCCTACCTGACGAGCCGCTCTCTGAGCTGCAGAGATCTCTGGACGCTCTGGTGGCCTCGCACTTCCCCATGACGTCTGACGAGTTCGCTAAAGGCTCGCTGCACCGCAACAACTACATGGACTGTGTCAGAAAGGTAAAGAGCCGCCTCACCTGTCTCTCTCTCTGATGTGGTGAAGTGTCTAATGTTTAACTTATAGTTTGAACCTGGGAGTCAAGCCACCCCTTCACATATATTAAACATGATAACTACGTTAACTAATTGACTGGAGCTGGACTGAACATGACACTGAACAGGGCGAGAGTGAGGATTTATTTACAAGGATTCACACAACAGATGGCGAGCCATCAGCTGTAAGATGTTTGTCTCTAATGTCCGCTGCTCTCATATCTTGTGTGGAACGTTTTCTCCGTTTGAGGCGTCCTCCTGCAGATGTTTCTGCAACACAGGTGAAGACAGAAACTAGAAGCTGAAATAGTGTGCAGTTCATCTCCAGACTGAGTATGTCAAGTGAGGAGAGGTCAGATCTGTGTGTGTTTCAGACGTCTCATATGCACAATCTTGCTGAGAGTCGTCCCGTCTTTAGTCATTGTTAGGTGGGGGTTGTTTCTGTATTAAGAGCCCATATTCTGCCCTTTTTGGGGTTTGTATATTTATCTATGTACTTACTTTTGTATGTTCACAATAGCTAAAGTTATAAAAAAGTGTCTGTTTTCATGTACTGCTCCTCCTTGCTCCCTCTACGCTCTGAGTCTGTCAGCTACACTCTGCTGAGCCCCCACTGTTAGACCCCACGTGGGCCAAGTCTGCTCTGATTGGTCTGCCGATCCGCTCTGTCGTTATTGGTCAGTTGCTCAGCACGCTTCTCGGAAATTTCAACATGAGCTGCTGGGCTTGCCACAACGAGCCAATGGACTTAGATCAGCGATCTCACACTGACAATGACGCCGCACTGACAAATTTTTATCGAGGGGGGCTAGAACCGAGCATTACATGTGGCTAATGCTACAGCTAACAGGAGGAGGTAGGACAAGCTGCGTTTCCGCGGACTTTGAATTTTTGCACATAGATGTGCCTAAACATGCACAGGACACTTGGAAAACACACTAAAGAGCATATAAAACCAGAAAAAGCATAACATGGGACCTTTAAATGAACAATGATGAAATCGTGAAACAGACTGTGGATCATCTTAGATTTATTCAGCCATGGTCAGACAATATAGAAACACAACACACATGGCTGACAAAGTGCAGACCATCGCTGACCCATGCTGACCAAGATCTCACAATCGCTGGCAATCATTGACCATCATGGACAAAGTGGCAAAATCTTCATCTTCACAGTGTTGCTTATATTCTACTAGAAGGTACAGCCCACACATTCCTGGCTGCTTCGGTTCATCTCTAAAAGACTAGAAAGAAGACATCACACTGACTCTTAAATATCAGACATATACATTTCTTCAGTCTCAGAGTCACATTTCTTTTTCAGCTCACAACAGACACTTCAATCCAAATATAACTCTGCTGCTGTGAGGTCTCTAACACATATGAATTACAGCTTCACAAACCTAAAAGAAGAATTACTCTGAGATGGTTGACACAATGTAAAGATATATCCACAAAATTATCAAGATGAATGAATCCATGAAAATATGTACTATCAGTCGTGCACATTTAAAAAATCAGGTTTAAATAGGTCTGAGATTGTGTGATGTTGCTTCCCAACGAGGAGCAAACACGGGCGGGCTGAGCGTGAAAGCCTCAAACTTTGAGCTCCTGCCATCTCTGCAGACGGTTTGTTTTGCTGTGCATCTAGACGGTGTTGTGCTGTCTGTTGCATGTAGTACTGTAAGTGAAATGTGATGACTCCTGAGAGGTTTAACATTGGACTGAGCTTTGATTCTTTTTTGTCTGCAGCTGCTGGACGCCCTGGAGCTCTCTCAGAGTCCTCTGCTGCTCAAACTGATGGCACTGATTCTGTGTCGAGACAAAAAGCACATCATGGAGGAGAGCTTCCAAACCTGCTTCCAGAGGATTGCTAAGCGGTGAGTGCAGCCTTCACAGTAATGCTTACATGATGTAACAGATTCTTTAATTGTTGTTTTAGATTTCACACAAGCGTCTACTGTTCCTCCGTCTCTCTGTGGATGTGCGAGCAGGTCGAGTGTTGAGCGTCAGCTGCAGCTGCTGTGTGCCATGTATCAGGTGATCAATCAGGGTGACGTGCCCATGAGCTCCATGCTTCAGGCCATGATGGAGAGAGTCCTGCTGCCTCTGTCCTCTCACTGCAGCAGCAAAGCCCTCAACGACTTCTTTGTGGCAAACGTCTCCGACATAACGGCTCTACTGCTCAGCCGCTTCACTAAGGTGTGTTATGAAGTATTTATACAGATACAGGAATAAAGACATGAAGACACACACTGTCGGCGTATATAGAATGATCTGCTGACACACACACACACACACACACACACACACACACACACACACACACACACACACACACACACACACACACACACACACACACACACACACACACACACACACACACACACACAGTTTAACCCTGCTGCGTCCATGACGGGCGCTACACAGCACTGACCCTCTCTCCCCTCCCTCAGCAGAGCGTGTTAGCTTGTTTTATAAAGTGGAGATAACAGAGCATTAATAATATCCACATTATGATTGAAATGTTGACCTTTGACCTGTTTCAACAACAGAGAAAAACTTTATTCAGCTCGCCGCAAGACGTTTATTGACGAGTCTCTGTGGGCCAGATTTACTAAGCTCCCAATTAAAGAGTACTAAATTGTGTGTTCACTCCAAAAGTTTGCACGTTTGGTTGGTGGGCGTTTTGCAGGTGATCTACTAAGAAAATTTGCGTGAATGACACCAGGTGCAAACCTTGTGGAGGCGGTAATATTTCAGTTAGGTTTTTGCGTGTTCTACTGGTTTACATCACGGATAGTTTGGACAGAAAGCAGGATGACTGCAAGCGTAAAATAGGTATTAGTGGGAGAGGCAAATAAACGCACAATACTTTCTAGTTATAGGAGATAAATCTGAATATTACAAAGAAATTTTGGTTGTAAGAAAATATTAAACAGGGCCTCTCTTTTCTTCTCTTAATCTTAAGAATGAAGTGTCATACATTGCGCAGGAGGTGTACACTGTGTTCTCTGCGCTCTACACTCTGGCCGTTGTTGCGCACCAGACAGCTGGCCAGCGCTGTGTGGGGTCAGATATAAATGTCCTGGAAAAAGGTATCGAAGACAGGGGTACAAACAGTGGTGAGGTGCCCCAATCCAAGCGTCCTACAGAGTAGCAGAAGCTTTAGAGGGAGGAGACGAGTGCATTATGGAGAGGAGTGCACCGGAGGGGGCAAGCTGGGGCAGAGACGAGCAACCAGAGAAAAAGGAAATCCCAGTTTAAAATATAATGTTGGTGAAAAGAGGAAATAGGACGACATAAATATCAATGTTGAAATTCTATACAATGCAGAGGCTGTGAATGTTCAGTTTTCTTTGGATATATGCAACAATAGCCTGTAGTTTAATCATGGTGTTTCTCTTCCTTAACGATTAGAATATTCAATCAAATTAAAAAAAGAAATGCATGCCATTTATTTTTCTGTCATTTGAAACATGTAAACACTTGTGGGGAAAAACGTGATCTGTATGCCTTCTTTTGTTGTGCCTATGTCTCCTCCTAACTACAATAACAGCAGCCTGTTGTGTGTGACACTGGTCTCCTGAGTTAGCATGTTCTTTTCAAAGGTGTTAAATACAGACACCGTCACAATCACCACAGTTTTTGTCAGGTTTGGTAAATCACAATGTGTGTACTAACTTAACTTGTTTGCATTTTCTCCTCCCAGTGTTTTGCACGTTAGGGCAGAAACGCCCCAGATTGAATATTCATTAAGTCAAACGTACTAAATGGTCAATGCGCGTTGTTTTGCTCATTTGACAGACGCAATCCTCACTGCACGCCGTTAGTAGATCAGATAGCACTTTTTTTGCTGGTGGTATCAAGTTTGCACACGTTTTAAGACACGCAAACCTTTAGTAAATCTGGCCCTGAGTGTTGAGATCTGAGTCAACAGCTTGCCAATACAAAACACCACACTTCAGTTTGACCTCCTTCAAAATAAAAGCACCACACTTCAGTCAGCTTAAGAGATAAAATGTTATGGACAAATTTAATCGTGACCTCGTATCGAGATCATTTCATCGCCAAACCTTTTAAAGTTGTACAAAAACATTTTGTACTGGCTTTATTTGTTAATTTTTATGATCAAATGTTTGTCAGTAACCTTGCAGCTTAAAGTCAGCACGATGTGTTTGAGAGGAGGGAAACACTTCTCACTTTTTATTTCCTTCCAGTCAAATGTTTCAGAGTTTGAGACTCAATTGCTGAAGAAGACCGGCTGCTTCAAGCTGATGGAGCTGCTTTATTCTCGACTTCCTAAAGAAGAAGTTTACTCAAAGGAATCTCGTATCAACCAGGCGCACTGCCGCTCGGAGAAGACGGAGGGCAACGAGCTGTCCAAGATGTTGATCAAGTAGGACTCTGAGAGATGACATGACAGCGATGTGAAACCTTGTCACAGTAGTGTTCTATGAATAATGGATGGCTTTGTTTCTTCAGGTCATGTTTTGAGGTGTTCACTGAGAACATGGCGGGTGAGACTCAGCTGCTCGAGCTGAGGAGACACTTTCACTGCGCTGCCTATAACTGTGCCATCGCCGTCATCAGCTGCAGCTTCAGCGAGCCCAAATTCTACCACGGCTTCCTCTTCAGCGAGAAACCCGAGAAGGTACTGCCAGCCACCTACGATACTATCCAACACGGGAACATCTGAATGTGTCCACTTCATGGTTTCCTCTTCCTCTACAGAATCAGTTCATTCTGGAAAACATCATCGACGTTGGGAGGATCTACAACTTCCCCATTGAGATCGAGGTCTGTGTTTGTGTTAACATGCCGGTTTGTTGGACTGTTTACTGTCAGAGGCGTGCTCATGATGTGTGTTTTCACTCCATGTAGGTCCCACTCGAGAGAAAGAAGAAGTATGTGATGATTCGAAGGGAAGTGAATGAGGAGAACGGAGGTATTCAGCAGCTGAAAACATTATTTCTCTGTACACTCCGTCTACAATCTGAATCTTTTATTGTAAAGGAATAAGTCTTACTCTGAAATGAAAAAGGTCTGCTCATAACATTAAAGGGTTATTCAGCTATTTTTAAACCTTTTTTTTTTGTTTAGAGTCTTAGCTGCACTGACACTCGGCAATCTGTACCGTACCGAAGCACCTTTTGACCCCCAGAGTCCAGTTTGTTTGACCAGGTTGAGCCCTCCGTACTCTGCTCAAGCAAGCTACACCTCCTTGGCAGTGTTGCCAGGTCTGCTTGTTCTAAGACGATATTTGCAAGCGACTTTACAGAAAAACAAGCCCAAAGTCGCTTGCAAATATCATCAGTCATAGGTTGCGGGTTTTTGGGAGTAAGAGACGTAAGAGTCCTCTTGCTTGACTTCTTGGGTTAACAACAGAGTTTGACTGCAGGCTGAGTTTCTCCCCCACTAGAAGGAGAGGATGTGAGTGTAGATTATTAGGGAGCTGTATCTCCAGTTTGATCATCAACGTTCACATTTGTCCTGTTGTGTTTTCCACAGACGCTCCGGTGTATCTGTCCTCTCAGTCGTACATGGCCGACAGCAGCCTGAGCGAGGAGATGAGTCAGTTTGACTTCTCCACCGGAGTCCAGAGCTTCTCCTTCAGCTCGCAAAACCCTGATGGACACAGACGCAGCGTGGCCCAGAGAGTCAGTGAAAAGAGCATGCCGTGTGATTTTTTTCATTATTAACATGCTGAGTGTCTTAAAAATAGTTTCAGAGGGTTCACCATCCTACCAAGAGGACAACTCCTGCAAAGCTTCAAAATGTCTTCAAACTTCATCTGGTTTCGATGCTGATGAGACTTTTTGTTGTTCGTTTAGGAGACAGAGGAGACAAATCTGTCCCAGCATGCATCAGTGGATCTAGAGATGGACGAGCTGAATCAGCATGAGTGCATGGTGTCGATGGCTGCTCTGATTGGACACATGCAGAGGAACAACATCACCCCGAAAGTGGAACAGGTCAGTGCCTCTAAAAGAGTGAAAGAGAGGGTGTTATCTTTTCTGTCTAACACGCTCTCTCCTCAAACAAATATGTTTGTATATATATATATTATTAATTAATTAATTATTAATTATTAATTTAAATGATAATATACACACACTTATTTATGTAAATACTGTAATTGACATCTTAATTGACTCATCTGTCATATAACTACATTTTACTTATCATGTTACTTCAGCATCTTTTGCACTATTCACCACTGCACTGTTTCATATTTAGTCATGTAAATATTAGTCTTTTCTTATTGTGTTTATTGTTGATATTTAATGTTGTACCTGTACATAAGAGAGCACAGTTCACCAAAGTTAAATTCCTTGTGTGTGTAAGCATACCCGGCCAATAAATCTGATTCTGATTCTGAAGCAGGGAAGCACGCCCAGTGATCTTCCTCCGTGGATGAAGTTTCTCCACACAAAGCTCTCAAATCCGTCCACACCTCTGAATATCAGACTGTTCATCTCAAAGCTCATCATCAACACAGAGGAGGTACATGTTCCTCCACACGATGTATTTATTCACTGTCTCTCCTCCTCTCCTCCTCTCCTCCGCAGTCTTTAACCCTTTATCCCTCCCTTCTCTGCTTCTCGTGTTCCCTCTGTGCGCATGGATCTTTATCGCTGATCGTCCAGGTGTTTCGACCATACGCCAAACATTGGCTCGGGCCGCTGCTGCAGCTTGTTGTGTCTGGAAACAACGGAGGAGAGGGGATTCACTTCATGGTGGTGGAAGTCGTGGTCATAGTGCTCTCCTGGACGAGCATCGCCAGCCCCAAGGTGGCTAATAATTCAGCCTTGATCAGTGTCCTTCTCGTCTCTTCTCGCCAGAGCCCCATTAATCATCATTCTTTTCACTCAGGGAAACCCCAGAGACGAGGTGCTGGCTAATCGTCTGCTGGAGTTCCTGATGAAGCACAGCTTTCACTCTAAGAGAGCCGTCTTCAGACACAACCTGGAGGTCATCCGCACACTGGTGGAGTGCTGGAAAGACTGTCTGCATGTACCTTACAGGTTGCTCCATCACACCCACTCAAGTGTCCATGCACGCGCGTTTCACAAAAAGCCTGCAGCTCACTGAAAGTGACCAGTTCATGTGCATTAAAGTTTCTCTTTCATTCCTTCTAGTTTGATCTATGATAGATTCTGCGGCACCGACCCGAACAGTAAAGATAACTCTGTAGGACTCCAGCTGCTGGGAATCATCCTCGCCAACAACCTCCCTGCTTATGACGCCTCCTGTGGAATCCAATACGACATGTGAGAGACATAGAATGTGTGTGTGTGTGGTGTAGAATATTACAGGTATTTTGAAACTGATATTGTTGTTGCGAGGTCCAGGTATGGCGATGCAGATACTACCCACCCTCCACATGGAGCTTCTGGCTCCCACAACTTATCTGTGTAGGCTGATTGAGAGCAGAGTGAGGACACCACCAGGGTTATGAAGTAGGAACCTCCCTTCAACGTAGTTTTGTTCCAATTAGTCCCCCGACACCTCACAAAGGCCGGACAGTGAGTTCCAGAGTCACTTCCCCAACATGCACGCCCTCATGCAGTGCCTTTATATCTTAACCTTATGCATGGCCTTCACAGCCCAAACAGCATCGCCACCTTCAATGGGCCCAGGCTGCAGGCGCCGTACATGCAAGCTCCTGGTGACAGCGCTGATACGACCTAACCCACCACATGACCCCTGGTGACTTTACACAACTATTCAAAGAGAGATCTTAGAAAGAGGGT